ACATTACAAGATGGCTTCAAAGACTCTGAGCACGCGCACCCCCGTCTAGCTGCATCTGGTGATGACGCACGACTAAACGCTGCCCGACACGGGGACGTGCAGGAAAATAAATTGGAATGAATTAAAGGTGTGAATGAGAAGTGGATTTGTTAAACCGCTTCAGTCCCTGTGTGGATGCTGTTATTCATCATTCAAATGGCCTTCATTTAGTTTAATTCAGCTAAACGGAATTAAGGCCACTTTAATTCTGCAAAAACAACCTCCACACAGGGATTGAACGGGGTGTAAATAATCCACTTCCAATTCACCCCTTTTGTTGATCTGGATTAGTTTTCCTAGATGTCCCAGTGTCAGGGCCGGCTCTGGCTTTTTTGCCGCCCCAAGCAAAAAACGCCGGGCCAGCCGGAGCAGCAAGCGGGGGGGGGAGAGAGGAGCGGAGGAAAACAAACCTGCCCCCAGCCGGAGCGGCGGGGGTGGGGTGGGGGGGGAAGAACAAACTGGCCGGCTGGAGCAGCAAAGGGCGGGGGGGACAGGCCAGCCGGAGCGGCGAAGGGTGTGGGAGGGTGGGAAACAAACCTGCCCCTGGCCGGAGCAGCGAAGGAGTGGGAAACAAACTGGCCGGCCGGAGCGGTGAAGGAAAGAAAAAACAAAAAACCTGTGGGGCGGCGGGAGAGTGGGTGCAGGGGGACTCCCGGCCCTGCAGACCCCGGGCAGCGGAGTGTGCACCCTGGCTAGCGGGGGAGAGAGAGAAGGGGGGCCCCCAGGGCTTCCTTAAGCGGGGCGCTGCCACGCAGCCCCTCCATGCACGCCGCCTGCCGGGAGGGCTCCGCGCCACTCCGGTCGGCAGGCAGGGAAGGACGCGGGCTGCCCTGCAGGGCGCTCCCGTCCCCCACGCCGCCCCCTACAGGGCAGCGGGAGCAGCAAACCAAAAAGAAAAAATCTGCAGGGGCGGTCAAAGCGGTGAAGCGCCCCCCAAAAAAAAGATTATACGGAATGCCGCCCCTTGGAATCTGCCGCCCCAAGCACGAGCTTGCTCCGCTGGTGCCTGGAGCCGGCCCTGCCCAGTGTAGACAAAACCTAATTTCAAAGCCACTAGCACCATAGGCAACACCTCCCTTTCTTCGTTCTCAAAATCGCTCCCAGTAAATCCCATCTCAAACAAACAACATCCCACACCTGCTGATGGCTCAATGGGTCCGAGGTTGATAATGCTTACCAGTGAGAGCTCATTCTTTATCATTGGCTCAGACTGCTTCTGCCCGTCCTCGCTGGCATAAAATTGCCTTCCAAGTCTCAGTGTCATGCTGGCACATGCCCCTGATTTCCATTGTCAGTTTACTTTCTGTGACTCAACCCGGCACCTGAGAAGAAGTTGGTGTTGATTCTGCTTGGCTGCCACATTTGGGTGGCTGGGCCCAGGCCCACACTGCTCTGAGTTCTCTTAGGGCCTCTTGTGCTGGACAGTAGCTGGCCCAGAGATGATCTGTGTCTTTATGGCTTGTGAGGTTCAGCAAACAGGGCTCCCTTTCTGGCTGTCCTTTATCGAGAACACTTCGTCTCTGAGCATGCCTGGGATGGGCTATTATATGGAGATAGACCTATCTCATAGAGCTGGAAGGGACCTTGAAAGGTCATCGAGTCCAGTCCCCTGCCTTCACAGCAGGACCAAGTACTGTCCCTGACAGATTTTTGCCCCAGATCCCTAAATGGCCCCCTCAAGGATTGAACTCACAACCCTGGGTTTAGCAGGCCAATGCTCAAACCACTGAGCTATCCCTCCCCCCCCCAAAAGAAGAAAAAAATTTCACCACCAACTGTGCCTCCCCGCCAGCCATCCTGCGAGCCTCTCACCAACTTGTCTTCAGGCCCCCGCCCTGCCACCTAACACAGCTCTCAGTGATTTCAGCTGTTAGTAGGGCGGGAGCCTCAGAGCTCGCACACCCAGAACCACTAGCCCAAAGTAGGGCTAAGCATTAGGAATCAGTGACTTCAGCTCTGCAGTACCTAACAAGACTCCTAACTGAGCCAAAATTTGCTCTATTATTACACCATGGAGAGAGGAGGGGTGCAAGAGGTGGTTGGGGCCCTCAGACAGGACCCACGCTACCAGGTACACATACTTGTCCCCAGCCTCTCTCCCCACGCTCGCACTGAAGGGGTAACATAGTTTACACTGGGAGGAGAACCTTAATGAGGGGAAGCTCACCTGTGTAGGGGCAGGAGGGTTTCTGGGAAACTAGGGAGCTGTGTGTAGGGGCAGGAGGGGTTTCTGGGAAACTCTTGTGACTTGGCCGGGAAGCTAAGCCGGGGTGCTGCAGGAGCAAGAGAGGGGGCCACAGAGCGAGACGACAAGCGGAGAAACGGCCAGAAGAGGGCTTGGGGCTGAAAAGCTAATCCCCAGAGCGGCCAGCAGGAGGCGCCCCAGCTGTGAGTAGCAAACCCTGTGACGATGCCGTTTCTCAGTATTTCCAGACTCTCAATGTCTTGCTCTGTGCCTCAGCTCGGGGACGCTTCTCTGTGTGAGATCAGAACGGCTATCGTTCAAACCCTGCGGTTTTCTCAGGGTTACAGTCCTCCCTAAGGAGTAAAACCACAGCCAAAGTGGGAGCATTTTCAGATGGCAGCTGTCAGACCATGTTATATAAATAGGGTGACCAGACAGCAAATGTGAAAAATTGGCACGGGGGTGGGGGGTAATAGGAGCCTATATAAGAAAAAGACCTCAAAATCGGGACTGTCCCTATAAAATCGGGATATCTGGTCACCCTATATATAAACCTCCAGAACCGCCTCCTCCCACTATGTGCACTAAAATTACTACTTTCATGTCCTCTTCTTCTTCTTTTTTTTTTTAATCTTCTCCTGCGGTTTTCATATAGATGTGGAAACCTTGTCCCCATCTTCTCCGATCCTCAGCAAGATTATCAGGGAAGGATAAAGGTGGGGCGGGAGTGGCTTGCAACCCTCCCTGTTCTGGTTTTTTAATGCTTTTAACTTGTTTACTTTTGTATCCTCACTGAGGTGCCGTACTCAGGTCCCAGCTGACCGGTGGATTACAGTTTCTTGTCTGGGTTTAGCAGTTTGCACCATTTGCTGGGCCCCTGACAAAAACAGCCACTCCTTGCTTCATGCTTTCCACCATGCGGTTAGACAGATGGATGATGGGTGGGTGGCTACGGGGTTAGATAGATAATTGGATGGATGGATGGATGGATGGATGGATGGCTAGAAAGCCGAGAGTCTCTTCCTTGTGAGTACGCTGCAGTCTCTTCGCTTCAAGAACCAGAGTGAGACTAGTTTAAACCAGGACTCTCTTTAAGGGCCATGATGGCTCCTACCAACTGGAAGCAATGAGTAGGCAGGCTGGGAGTGGTGTCCGCATCATGGGATGTCGTCTGGTAATTATGCATGATATACTACAGAAATGGACTCTCGGGGAAGGTGAGCTGGAACGGATTTCCTGAGTGGGAAATTGCTGTGATGAGCCTATTGTACTTTGGGATTGGGGGAGAATGGTTTTACCATAAGGTTTCTGTGGACTATTGTACATGTCCAGGAATAAATTCTGCTCCAAGTGTGGCTGCCTTCTCACATGCTCATAATACAAGAACCGGGAGACCCTCAGTGAGAGTGAAAGCAATGCTAAAAGGAAGCGCTCCCTTTTCCCCATTAACACATCATTAGCCTGTGGAACTCAATGCCACATGATGTTCTCGAGGCAAAAAGTTTAGGAATATTTGGCTAATAAAACACAGAGAGATGACCTGTTTGCCTCCAACCTCAGCCCTCTTGCTTCAGGGTGAAAACCAATCTCTTTTCCCTGCTGAGACAAGGTGGGGGAGATAATATCTTTTATTGGACCAACTTCTGTTGGTGGGAGAGACCAGCTTTTGAGTTTACACAGAGCTCTTCTTCTTTCCCTGACAAACAGATTATTGCACCATTGCCCACTGTGTGTGGTGGGGGGGATGAGGTTGTTCCTGGAGTTTTGCTCTCGAGCAAGTGAGACTAGCTGCTGTCAGAGACCGGATACAGGTATTGCTGGGCCTGTGATCTCACCTGTCAGAGCAATTTTTTTGTAAGTGCCATAGAGCCAAAGATACAGGCAAGTTGCTTCACTTCTCTGGGGCTTGTCTCCAGAGGGAAGTTATTCTGGCTTGGGGTAGGTGGTAAATTCAATGAAATACTCGTTGGGCCAGAAGGAGACACCCACTGTATAGCCCAATGGTTAGGGCACCTACTTGGGAAGGGGGAGATTTGGGTACAAGCCGCTGCTCTGAATCAAGCCCAGCAGGGATGTGAACCCGGAGCCCACCTGTCTCCAGCACCGTGAGCACCAGGCGATGGTGGCTGGCAGGTTTGGAGAAGGAATCCCATCGTGGAGCTGAGAAAGCTCCGCCCAAGCTGCCCCTCTTGTGGGAAAAGCTTCGGGTTTGACGGCTCTGCATTTTCCGCAGGAAAAACTGTTCCGGCCAATACCTCCCGACCGGCCGTCCTTGCCACAGCAAAACCCTGTTTCCCAGGAGCTGATCCAGTCAGTTGTCCTGTGTGGACAAGCCCGCGGTTGTGTCCTTGTCCTCCGGTGCATCGGTGCGGCTCCTGGCACGCGGAGGGACTGTGGTGCCAGGTCACTGGAAGCCGCATCTTCGTGGTGGCTGCGCCAGCCTGTTTCCCAAGAAGAAACCCCCAAGAGCCTGACTTTGATGGGCCCACTCAAAGGCTCTAGAAAGGACGCCCAGGCCAGTCGCATCAGGCCGTCGGTGACCGCGCAAGGGAACGTCCGCACAGCCTGCGGCAGCACGTCTCGGGGCCCAGGTTTGCAGACTCCGGCTCCCGCTCAAAAGAGCTGCACGTAGACGCCCCCTTAGTGGGCCGGAGCCATTAATTTGGCCCTGGGCCCAATACCAGGAACTTACAGACCAACTCCACCCCAGGGAGTTCTGATGCCCAGCCAAACAGGTCTGGCAGGTGCTTTGGGGAAGGGCAGGCAGAAAGGCATTTCAGCTCAGGTGGGTGTCTGTGGTGCAGTGCCTCTGGGAAAGCCAGTGAGAGGATACAGCACACCTGCGCAGGTGTCGCCGCCCCGCCTGGGAGTCCTGGTTCTTTTGGCACCGTGGGAACTGGGCCGGCTCCAGTGGAGAGGACGCAGCATGGGGAACCGGGTCACCAGGGATGACTTTGAGTGGGTCTATACAGATCAACCTCATACAGAGAGAAGGAAGGAGATCTTGGGTGAGTCTGGGTTGAGTTGGTACCACCATGGCTCCTGTCTGGAAGGGGGATGGCACTGAGGGAGGGGGATCGGCACCAGAGGCGAGCAGGAGGGGAAAGAGGGTCAGCGCCAGAACTAAGGACAGGGAGGAGGTGGGGGCCAGAACCAGAGAGAGGGAGGTCAGGACCAGAGGTGACAGAGACAGGGGGCGGGATGGGTCGGGAACAAGAAGAAGCAGAGAGAGGTGAATCAGAACCTGTGGGGATGAGGGGGCCCTAGGGAGGGAGGAGGTGGGTCAGAGCCAGGATTGGGGGAAGATGGGTCAGAACCAGGTGGGAACTGGAGCTACCAGAGAGAGAGGAGGTGAGTCAGAACCAGCCGGTGTTGAATATATTAGGCCAGGTCCACACTAAAAAATTGTCAACCCAGCCACGTTGTCCGGAGTGGTGAAAAATCCACCCCCCTCGGTGGCGTAGTTAAGCCAGCGTTAAGTTGACGGAAGACTTCTCCCATCTCGCTACCGTCTCTCGGGCAGGTGGATTAAATACAGTGACTGGAGCACCCCTCCTGTCGGTGTAGCTAGTGTCTACACCAGACGTGGGCAAACTACGGCCCGCCGGCCACATCCAGCCTGTGGGACCGTCCTGCCCGGCCCCTGAACTCCTGGCAGGGGAGCCTAGTCCCCGGCCCCTCCACTGCTGTCTCCCCCCACCCCCCGCCACCACCGCTCCCATTGGGCAGCGTGGGGAGTGCAGCTGTGAGCTCCTGCTGCTGGTAAGGGGGCGGGGAGCGGGGGGTTGGTAAGGGAGCGGGGGTCCTGGGGGGCAGTCCTGGGGCGGAGGTTCTGGGGGGGCAGTCAGGGGATGGGGAACAGGGAGGGTTGGGGATGGGAGTCCCGGGGGGGGGCCTGTCAAGGGGCGGGGATGTGGATGGGGTCAGGAGGGCAGTCAGGGGACTGAGAGCAGGGAGGAGGTTGGATAAGTGGGTGGGATCCTGGGGGGCAGTTAGGGGTGGGGGGTCCCAGAAGGGGGTGGTCAGGGGACGAGGAGCAGAAGGCGGATAGGGGATGGGAGTCCCAGGGGGGCTGTCAGGGGGCGGGGGTGTGGATAGGGGTCGGGAGGGCAGTCAGGGGACAAGGAGCAGGGAGGG